CAAACGGAGGACATAGATGATGCCTTCCTGGAACAGATGGCCAAGCATGCAAAAGGAAGGGAGATAGTAGTAATGGGGGACTTCAATTACCCGGATATTTGTTGGATGTCAAACTCAGCCAAGAGCATAAGGTCAAACAGATTCCTCACTGGCCTTGCAGACAACTTCATTGTCCAGAAAGTGGGAGAAGCAACAAGAGGAACAGCCATTTTAGATCTCGTCCTAACCAATGTTGATGACCTGGTTAGTGGGGTAGAAGTGGAAGGATCATTAGGCACGAGTGATCATGCTCTTCTGAAGTTTACTATACAGCGGAAAGGAGCAGCCAAGCATACTAGGACTCAATTTCTTGACTTTAAGAAGCCGACTTCATAAAACTTAGGGAAGTGCTGGGTGAAATCCCATGGACAGTAATACTAAAAGGAAAGGGAGTTCATGATGGCTGGGAGTTTGTTAAGAGGGAGATAGTAAAAGCACAACGTCAGGCAATACCAATGAGACGGAAACATGGAAGGTGCCTAAAGAAGCCAGGGTGGCTATCTAAAGAACTTTTAACTGAGTTAAGATTAAAAAAGGATGTGTACAAAAAATGGAAAAGGGGGGAAACCACCAAAGAGGAATTCAAACAAATAGCCAGCACGTGTAGACACAAAGTCAGGAAAGCTAAAGCACAGAATGAACTCAGGCTTGCTAGAGAGGTTAAAAGCAACAAAAAAGGCTTTTATGGGTATGTCCGTAGCAAAAGGAAGAACAAAGAAACAGTGGGGTCACTCAGAGGAGAAGATGGTGAAATGCAAACAGGGGACACAGAAAGGGCTGAACTCCTCAATGCCTTCTTTGCCTCAGTCTTCTCCGATAAAGAAAACAATGCCCAACCTGAAGAAGGGAACGCAGTGGATGTAGCCTACCTTGATTTCAGCAAGGCATTTGACAAGGTGCCCCATGATATTCTTGTAAAGAAGCTGGTAAAATGCGGTCTTGACTATGCTACCACTCAGTGGATTAGTAACTGGCTGACTGACAGAACCCAAAGGGTGCTCATCAATGGTTCCTCTTCATCCTGGAGAAGAGTGACTACTGGGGTGCCACAGGGTTCTGTCTTGGGCCTGGTCTTATTCAACATCTTTATCAACGACTTGGATGATGGACTCAAGGGCATCCTGATCAAATTTGCAGATGACACCAAACTGGGAGGGGTGGCAAACACCCCAGAGGACAGGATCACACTTCAAAACGACCTTGACAGTTTAGAGAACTGGGCAAAAACAAACAAGATGAATTTTAACAGGGAGAAATGTAAAGTATTGCACTTGGGCAAAAAAAATGAGAGGCACAAATACAAAATGGGGGACACCTGGCTTGAGAGCAGTACATGTGAAAAGGATCTAGGAGTCTTGGTTGACCACAAACTTGACATGAGCCAACAGTGTGACGCGGCAGCTAAAAAAGCCAATGCAATTCTAGGCTGCATCAATAGGAGTATAGCATCTAGATCAAGGGAAGTAATAGTGCCACTGTATTCTGCTCTGGTCAGACCTCACCTGGAGTACTGTGTCCAGTTCTGGGCACCACAATTCAAGAAGGACACTGACAAACTGGAACGTGTCCAGAGGAGGGCAACCAAAATGATCAAAGGCCTGGAAACGATGCCTTATGAGGAACGGCTAAGGGAGCTGGGCATGTTTAGCCTGGAGAAGAGGAGGTTAAGGGGTGATATGATAGCCATGTTCAAATATATAAAGGGATGTCACATAGAGGAGGGAGAAAGGTTGTTTTCTGCTGCTCCAGAGAAGCGGACACGGAGCAATGGATCCAAACTACAAGAAAGAAGATTCCACCTAAACATTAGGAAGAACTTCCTGACAGTAAGAGCTGTTCGACAGTGGAATTTGCTGCCAAGGAGTGTGGTGGAGTCTCCTTCTTTGGAGGTCTTTAAGCAGAGGCTTGACAACCATATGTCAGGAGTGCTCTGATGGTGTTTCCTGCTTGGCAGGGGGTTGGACTCGATGGCCCTTGTGGTCTCTTCCAACTCTATGATTCTATGATTCTATGATATCCACGGGTGTATGGATAGTGTAGTTATATAGTTTAGTCACTAGGTGGCACTGGACTTAAGTGTATCTGGATGGAGCCAGGAGTTTTTTGTTTGTGTTCTAGACTTGTTTAAAACAGACAATGGCTGCATGCACACCACAGTTTATTCCCCTTTTTTGCAGTGCTTCCCTAACTGTTAAACTCCACATTAAATTTGTGCTTTCACACAACACAGTTTGGGAAATTCAGCAGAATATAGCAAAAGCTCAGTGCTAATTTCTGTGTTACTTGCTTCCAGAATACAGTGGTACCTCGCGATGCGAACAGGATCCGTTCTGGAGCCCTGTTCGCATCCTGAACAGAACGTAAGATGCGACAGAGCGTCTGCGTGTGCGCGGGTTGTGTTTCACTGCTTCCTTGCATGCGCGTGACGTCATTTTGACCGTTGCGCATGCGCAAGCGGTGAAACCCGGAAGTAATGCACTCCATTACTTCTGGGTCGCCGCGGAGTGCAACCTGAAAATACTTGTCCTGAAGCGCATTTATCCCGAGGTATGATGGTAATAATAATAATAATGACAACAACAATATGTAAATAACATTGAAATAAATAAAACATCAGGGCTGCTATCCTTTCCTCAAGTGATTTTGCTTAGCCGAAACTATGATGATGCCTCTTACAAGCTGGATGGAGGTGTGTGTGTCTGTGTTTGTTTGTTTGTGTGTGTGTGTGTGTGTGTGTGTGTGTGTGTGTGTGATATCAAAGACTGTGGGCATCCACGTAGCAGGAATGTATCCAACTGTACAAAGGCTCATTATTATTTATTTATTAAATAGTTAGTTAAATGTATATACTGCCCTTCATCAAAAGATCACAGGGTGCTTCACAAAATAAAATACAAGATAAAACACAGCTAATAATTAAACCAAAACAACCCCCTCCCTCTTACAGATGCATTTAAAAGGCTGTAGAATATTGATCTATTGATCAGACAAAGGCCTGGTTGGAGAGGAATGTTTTTGCCAGGTGCCTCATACATATACAATGAAGGCGCCAGGCAAACCTCCCTGTGGAGAGCATTCCACAAACAGGGAGCCACTACAGAAAAGGCCCATTCTCATGTTGCCACCCTCCAGACCTCACGTGGAGGAGGCGCACAAAGGGTCTCACATACGTTGCTACAGCCACTTTCGCCACTTCTCTCTGGCATGCACCCCATCCAATAGGATTTGCACAACAGAATGTCACCCCTGAGTTGCAAAAGGTTCCACTATCCTATGGCTGTCCTATCAGGTTTCCCCTGCCTTCCTCTCCAGATCTGCCTCATGACTCTCACAACCATGAGCCTAACCATGAGCCTTGAAGAGAAAATAAACCCCAAGGAGAGCTTCCATATGGCTTCAGAGCATCTTAAGCCCTGTCCTGCACACAACAGTAACTGCACCAAGAATCTTGGAAACAGGGTTTGCAGTCCGCTGCCATTTTGTCACAAGGCACATCTATCCGGATGACTGTTTGGGGTAGCAAAGAAAGAAGATCTACCTGTTAGTGGCAGCAGTGGCCAGTTTGCATAACCCATCGGTAGGCAAACTAAGGCCCGGGGGCCAGATGTGGCCCAATCACCTTCTAAATCCAGCCTGCGGACGGTCCGGGAATCAGTGTGTTTTTACATGAGTAGAATGTGTCCTTTTATTTAAAATGCATCTCTGGGTTATTTGTGGGGCATAGGAATTCGTTCTTCTTTTTTCAAAATATAGTCCGGCCCCCCACAAGGTCTGAGGGACAGTGGACCGGCCCCCTGCTGAAAATGTTTGCTGACCCCCGGTGAACTGTTCATCTTACAGGCACAACTCGCTTTCAGACCAAAGGAGAGCAAAACCAGAGAGATGCTCATGTCACCAAAGGAAATTGCTAGTGGCTCTTGACTTTGCAGATACCACCTAATGCTTAACAGCTTAACCCTGGTTCTCTCTTTGTGACTTGCATGCCAACACACCCGAGCCACAAAGTTCCCAGGAGAAAAATAAATTACACTGACATGGAATATTTGGTTTATGGGCTCAAATAAGCCACAACTTTATTGGTTACCAGTGTGAGCGGTTCTGGCTTAGGCATTGGGGTGAATCCAGGCTATATCTTGACTCCTGCCTGTCTGCAGGGAGTCCCCGGAAGGGTAAACCACCAATAGGGGGTTCCCTATAACTTACATCAGATAGTGACAGCCCGAGGGGTCCCCGTAGGGGCTGTGACATGGCCCTAGCCCACGTCCAGGCTTCAGACAGTATTCACACCCTTTAACAGGATACCCTTACTGAGGAAGGGCAGGCAAGGCAACAACCTCCCTTCCAACCAGACAAAGGCTTACTCAATGCCTAACTGTACAAAAGTTGTGACAATTTCTACTAGGTAGGCGAAAACCAAATGGCCAGTGCCAATTTGCCAAGTGGGAGAAAATCCTACCCAGCCCTAACAACATGGCAACCGACAACTTCCATAGCAAGGCCATATCAGAGCGAAGCATGAAAAGAGGGTGGGTGGGTAGGGAGATCTGACGAAAAAGCAAGGAAGAGGGAACTGGCTGGCCAGCCAGAAATTAAATGGTCCGCGGCCACACCCACCCTGGTCACAGATTGGCTGGAGCTGTCCCCGGCACAGATAACATGACTGGCTGTGAGGCGTGGGGAGGAGGGGTGAAGCAGCGTACCTCTCCCTTACTCCGGAAAACTGTTGAGGCTCGGCTGACTGGCTGCAACGCCGTACACCTGATAAAAGGTGGAAAGCACTCTATTCTAGAAAAAGGTCACCCACACTTGCACCCAGGCTGTTCACCAAAAACAGCCCTTTTGTTTTACTCTTGCCCTCCAACCCCTCACAACTCAACAGTGGTCCCTTCCACCATGTTCTGTATTCAGTCCTGGTTTCTCAGGAAGGAATTCCCCGTCTCCAAATTTGGGCAAGACCTTACCTTTGCTGCCAGACAGGTGCTTCCATGTGACTGTTGGTTCTGGTCTCCCAAAAGCCAAGCACAAAAGGGTGACGCTGCTGCCTTCATTGACGGTGATGTCTGACGTGATGTTTATAATCTGTGGAGGAACTGCAAGAAGAAAATTGGAAAGGAATGAATACCTGTTAAAAAAGAATTCTGATGCTACTTATGGGTAAGCCCTTCCAATCCCAGGCTGAATTTGGGGAAATTAGACTATCTTGCCCAAATCCTGTTCTGCCAAGGGCAGCTGCTTTTTTTTGGGGGGGGGATTCAGGGGCAACAAGCACATTTATGGGTGAACTCGACAGTCACAGCAAGAATTAGATGTAAAGCTACGAGATCATATTAATGCACAGCAAGAATAAAGCATAATGCTACCAACGAAGATCATTATTCGTTTGCCAATTTGATTGCTAAGAATTCATTCCTAGGCATCACAGCAGCAGGAACCTCTGGTAGCTGTAGTTGGTTGACACATTGCACCATCCTGGGACCCTTGTCTCCCCCCTGGGTCTCTTTATCTCCTCTGGGTTCCTCTCACAGTGCTTCCAGCTCTCATGTTCATAGTCTGTATCCTGCTGAGGAAGATAATTGGTGCATTACTCATTCCCTTGTGAACCACACTTCAGAGGTCCCCAAGGACCTCCCCTAAGGGTCAGAGGGATGAGCTATGAGACTGCAGGTGCAGCTGTAGTCTTGTGACCTTGCCTGTCAAAGTCAAAGCATTTGACTTAACCAACTGGGTTCAAGAAGGCAACCACTTGTCAGTCATAGGTTAGGAGCTTTCTCTTTTGCATTCCTGCAATAGTGCTGACCCTAGCAGAATATGATTAAAGCTTTCAGGACTCCAGCTTACCACTTTACAATATTATGCCGGAATAGCAAATGCACAGTACAGGCCTGTGCCCGGGCACCTTTGAGGGCATCCAAAAGGGCAATAACACAAAACAATTACAACTTCTGAGAACAGATTAAAAGCAATCATATAAAAACTTCTAAAAAAGCCACCACCTACTCTCATAGCAAATAATTTCTCGATTGCCAGGAACAATTATTTGAGCTACCAGAAACCCAGTCAAACAGGAAGTCAAACAGGATTGTGTTTGGATTCTCCCTAAAGATTAATAGCACAGGAGACAAACATGCTTCACTAGGGAGGGCATTCCACAAATGGGAGCCAATATGCAGGAGGCCCTGTCATGACACACCAGCAACCAGGTAACTCCACAGTGGAAAGTCTAACTGGACCTTTGGGTGGAAACAAACTCAAAGTGTCCAACATTCCCTTTGTATATAAGATTCCAACCCTCCCTCTGTCTATTTGATGTTGGCAATGAACACCAGAGGCCTGAAAATGTGCTGCAAAGAATTAGGAACATATGGATGTGTGATATTTTGGGGGCTTCTGCAATCCTCAGTCCATAGAACTGTGAACATTGCTTCTATCCACTCCAAGCTTACAGCTGGGGCTGAGCTTCTGGGGGAACAGATTCCACCCCCAATCTAGACTCTATACAGATTCAGTAATACAGTTCTACAAAATAGCACACAGCTGTCAATGTGAATGTCTTCTAAAAGTTGAGTTCCTTTTCACCCTTTTCCTTTTACAGTATCCCCCCCACCCCAACCATACACCTTGCCTTTTGAGGGAAGGAATTAAAAGCATTTTAAAATATCTTGAAAGATATGGGGGAGGAAAGGAAGGAAGGGGAGAGAGACTTTAGCTTTCAATCTGTTAGTCTGCTCCTGGCAATATAGCGTGCAGCATATTTAAAGGACAGCTGATGCCTTGTGGAAAGCTGAAAAACAACCTATGGAGAGAAATGATTCAGCCCTTTTGAATCTACATTTCCCCTATATTTCTGTTCACTGGTTCTTTATTACAAAGGACACTGGCGCGAAAACATGTTCTTCAAGGATTCATCTGCGTCTCCGCTGTTTATTCCCCACCTGAATCATAATCTCTTGTTTGTGTCTTCACAGTTGGTTGCTATGGAAGTTATTATGTCCTTGGTATCTCACATTCACATCATGACGGCCGTAGAAAGGAATAAGAATCTTGTTGAAGGGGAAGGTGGGTTCCCCCTCCGGGCTGAAACCAAAGTCCATGGATAGAGCCGCATCGAGAACTCCGCACGACTGAACAAGTTTGAGGTGTATATTTAAATGAAGGAGATAATCCAGGATTACAAGTTCAGACATGGAAGATAAAGTCCAGCATCACCACAGGCAAGGTGAAGAGCAAGCCAGCTCTGATAGGGGACACAGACAAAAGCACTCGATAGCAGCCACCTCCTGGCGTGGAAGATTAGGGAGGGGATCTCAGGTGTGACCCTTTGTTAAGAGACGCAAGTTATTGGATTTCACCTTCGTACAAGAGTATCACAACTCCGCAGAGCAAGGGTAGCCAACATGCTGCCCTCCAGATGCCACAGGACTGTAATTCCCATCATCTTGTGCTGGTTGAGGCCACAACATCTGGAGGACACCACGTTAGGTACCCCGAGGGACAGGGGAGAAATTCACTCAGTTCACAGTGAAACAACCTAATTCACATGTCCTGAGCCAAGATGCAAACCAAAGGACAGTTGTCCTTCAAAATCCACAGAATGCCAAATTTTGTGAGGCACTTCCCCTAGCAACTACAGCATGCCCCCCAATGCATACAGTGGTACCTCTGGTTACGAACGCTTCTGGTTACAAACGCTTTGGGTTACGAACTCTGCTAACCCAGAAGTAGCTGCTCCTGGTTGCAAACTTTTGCCCCAGGAAATCGCATGCCAGAGGCGCGTGAGCAGCGGGAGACCCCATTAGCGGAAGCGCGCCTCAGGAAAAGAATGGACCTCCGGAATGAATTAAGTTCATAACCAGAGGTACCACTGTACATTCATGAAAATAGTATCTGTTTTCTAAAAAGAGAGAGAAAAGTAAACAACCTCTCAATCCTCATGCAGACCTAATGGTCTGGTGCATGACTCAACAACTTTTTGCACTTAATTCTACTGCCTCTACTCAGAAGAGAGGAGAATAGATTCAGTGTACAATTCCAAATGAAGCCAGGATGCTAATTGGCTGTACATTGCATGCAAAGTTGGCTGTGTTGGTCCACAAGAACAAGAAAATATCAAAGTTCACAGTTAAGCAATGCATTTCTTGGAATCAGCCCAAATGACACCAAAGTGTGGTCAGCTTTCAAGTCCTCCAGACCTCTTTGCTAGGGGAGATGTTACAGAAAACAGTTGGTGAGAGGAACAAGGAAATATATTAAACAAACACAGATGTGGGCACACAAACTAGGCTTGTGTTGTAGCCATGAGGTCTTTATGTAGAGTCAGGGCAAATGACTTTTGGGTTGGTGTGTGTGTGTCAGTAAACGAGGGGAATTAAGACTAAGAGAGGTGAGTGGGGGTGCTCGTGTAATCTAACTGTATACAAGTTGTACAAGTGACAATAAAGTATTTCAATGTAGACAAAGTTCCAAGAAGGAGTTGTAGGCTGAGTTAGTCCCTCCCTTGTGCTATGTAAGCTGGGCTGGCCCAAGACATTTTGACATCTAAGATGGACCCCAAACTTGTGCTGCCCTCCCCACCAGGGAAGAAGGGGTGAGGGAAGATCTATATCAGGAACAAAGAGGGAAAGAAAGATTGGTATTGGGATCTGCTACCCCAGTGAATCCTGCCAGCTTCGGCAGTAACCCCACCTTGCCTCATGGGTGGGCCGACCCTGTATATAGGAATGTAGGGATCAGGACTATGGCACAGAGAGTAGAAACCATAAACACTACCTTATGCAGACTCAGAGCACTGATTCTGGAATAAAGACACAATTAATGCTCCCCATGTCTAAGGAATTCAAGTATGGACTGCAAGACAGATCTGTCCAAAACTTAAACAAAACACACAGGTTCCTGAGAGAACAGCAGCAAAGAGACACATGACAGCCTTTAGTTTAAAAATCAGGGGTTGATTTTGGATGGTTTTCTAACTCAAAAGAGTCAAGGGAAGCCAAATGTTTCGTGCTTGTTTCCTCCATTAATTAAATCATGTTTCTTGTTTGGGTCAGTAGTAGCCGACATGCTTCTCTCTTGATGTTGGGGATGATGGGTCTTGGAGTCAAAGCAAGAAGCTGGACAGATGTCTGCTGGGGGTGCTCTAAGTCTGGGTTGCCTGCAGCAAAGAGGAAGCTGGACACAATGGTTCACTAGGCCCCCAGCAATTCTATGATGATGTATTGAATATTGCATCAGCCCCAGAATCAAAAAGGAAAGATGGTGGGTTAGATGCGTGCCCTTCTGTCACTATGATTTTGGTAGAAGATCTATGGGTGGTATGCAGCTAAATAAACCTGCTAGTAGAAGGAATTTTGGCTGCAGATAAAACTCCTCTTCCACCCCCAAATCATTAGGTAAAGGTAAAGGTACCCCTGCCCGTACGGGCCAGTCTTGACAGACTCTAGGGTTGTGCGCTCGTCTCACTCTATAGGCCGGGAGCCAGCGCTGTCCACCGACACTTCCGGGTCACGTGGCCAGCGTGACGAAGCTGCTCCAGCGAACTGGCACCAGAGCAGCACACGAAACGCCGTTTACCTTCCCACTAGAAAGCGGTACCTATTTGTCTACTTGCACTTAATTGTGCTTTCGAACTGCTAGGTGGGCAGGAGCTGGGACCGAACGACAGGAGCTCACCCCGCCACGGGGATTCGAACCACCGACCATGCGATCGGCAAGTCCTAGGCACTGAGGTTTTACCCACAGCGCCACCCACGTCCCTCCCCAAATCATTAGGTTACAGATAAAATTCAGCAAAGGGAAACCTGACACCTGGGGCAGACTTCCTGGCTTCTACCTGGCTGTTGGGAGCCTCCCCAGACCACAACCCACACCAGCCTTGCTTTGCACCCTCCTCCTTCGTACTGGCTAGAATGTGCTCTTGAACTCTGACAATGCTTCTCGCTTGCCTGGTGGACAAAGAGGGATGTGTAAGTGTTGAGTGCATGTGCATGTGGCCCCCAGAAGGTTGCTATGGAGGGAATGTGGCCCTCTAGATGGAAAAAGGTTCCCCAACCATTGTTTAAATCAAACGTCCCCGTCTGTGTCCCCAGCTTATCAC